ATTCATAAAGATTAAAAAGATATTTTGATAGGTACCTTTTTTTGCAAACCCTTTTATAGAATCAGGGGATTTAATTAGTTTTTATTTTATGTTCAGTCGTAGGCTACCTTTGAGAGGTGGAGATCTAACAACATGAAAGAGACCAAAGATCACTGGGGTTCGATTATTTTTTTTTTTTCTCTTTAATGAAATTAAGTAACAATGCCTAACTAATAGTAAGGAAAACTTATAATAAACTTCGAAAACATAATAAAACAAATGTCACTGTAAAAATATAAACTTAGCCTACTTTAACCTCTTGCCCTCATAAGGATTTACCCCCCTTCATGACCAGGCCATTTTTTGCATTACTGCGCTGCATTACTTTAACTGACAATTGTGCGGTCATGCAACGCCTAAATGAAATTTATGCTCTTTGTTCCCCACAAATTGAGCTCTCTTTCCGTGGTATTTGATCGCCTGCGCAGGATTTTATTTTGTGCGCTATAAGCAAAAAAAGACCGACAATTTTGAGAAACAAAAAAACAATATTTTGGACTTTTTGCTATTAAACATGTCCAGTAAAAAAATTACAAAAATCAAACTCCGGCAAAAATATATTACAAAATGCATTCTGCTACATGTCTTTGCTAAAAAAACAAATTGCAATACGTGCAATTTAATTGGTTTACATGAAAGTTATAGCATTTACAAATGGCAGTATAGATAACGGGATTTTTTTTTCCCTACTAGTAATGGCGGCGATCAGCGACCTTTAGCAGGATTGCAGCAGACATTCTGACACGGGGGGGACTAACTTGGGCAGGAGACGGTTAATGTGAGGGGCGATACGGGGTTAACTCTGTGCGTTTTACTAGGGGGCGAGGGGTGTGTTCTTCACTGTAAGCACACTGATCGGGATGGCTGTACTGTGCACAGCCATCCTGAGCAGTGTGCTCGAGCTGACAGGGAGGAAGATTGTTTGTAAACAAAACAATCTTCCTCCCCGTGGGAGATTCTCGGTAATCAACCAGGCGCCGGCAGGTAACTACCGGCAGGGACCCGGTGATTGACATCTGCGGCCGTGAATGGCGGAGCAGGTAGGGCGCGCGCGTGCCCCCTACCTGGAAATGCAAAATCGTGATTTTGCGCACAGGTGCCACCCTGTAGCAGTATATCCGCTATATGGCAGTCCTTAAGCAGATAAAGGTGAACAGTGTCAGTCAGAGCAGTGGAGAGTCAGTAGGGCAGTGTACGGTGTGTGGGCAGGGCACTGGTGTGTGTGTGTGTGTGTGTGTGTATGTGTATGTGTGTGTTTGTGTGTATTTTTTTTTTACAATTTTCATAGGAGCCCAGATAGGGGGCTTTGGTGGGTGAAATATCTGGGGTCAGAGAAAGGTACTAAGAACACGTATTTCCTAGTCCCTTTCTCTGAAGCCTCAGCTGCACGGGACAATGAATGAGTGGAAAGTGCACTGTGCTGAGCGGCTTCCTTTTCATTTACAAACTGAAGCATAATAAACACACAAGGGGGTTAGCACCATAAGGAAGATGGGCTGTATTTATCTACCTGCAGCAGCTATATATGCTGCTGGGAGGGAGAGGAGAAGCAAACATTGCTGGTATTTAGCTGCTGAAGAGAGGAAATACAGCCCCCTAAAATGCCACCCCCTCCTCTCAAGGTTCCAGGGTGCAGAAATCAAAGGACATGATCTGCCCATCACCTGCCCGTGATCAATGGGTATATTGGAATTAACGGGCTGCCAACCCCTGTTGTAGACTATCAAGGATTGATCATGCCTTGTGTATTCTGTAATCCTATTCATACCTGAAGTAGATGGAAGTGATAAGTGTTCATCTTGTTTCGGCAGTGGGATTGTTTTATCAGTTACTTAGTAACAGGGTGGTTACGAGTTTCCTCTTCAGAGCTTTTTAATGATTATTTAAGCCTGTGTGAAAATGTACACCAAATGCTTGTAAACTTAAAGTGAAAACTTTAAAAGGTTGTAATTAAAAAAAAACAAAACAAAAAAAAACATGTTATTACTTACCTTCTCTGTGCAATGGTTTTGTGCAGAGCACCCCCGATCCTCTTCTTTTAGGGTCACACGTGGGCGGTCCTGGTCCACCTCTGCAGAGCGTCCCCAGTAGTAAGCTACTTGCAATGGGGGGACTTGAGCAGGAGTGCTCCCAAGCCACACTCCTGTGAATGGACAGTGATCATTCACAGACAGAACGCGACACAGCTCCACCCCCACTCTCTTCTCATTGGCTCACTGGCTGTGTGATAGACAGCAACAGGAGTCAATGGCTTCCACTGCTGTGTGACAAATGAGGAGAGAGAGAGACTTGGGAAAGCTGCATTCGTGCACATCGCAGGACTGAGATGGGGCCAAGGTAAGAACCACTTTAAGGACAGGGACGCCAGAAACGGTTGCTCAGATTGTTCCAAGTAAGTCTTGAAGGAATTGAGATGAACCCTTTCAATGCCAGAGCTGTTTTAAGCGTTTCTTGCACATATGTTTAAAAACATTTTTAGGCCTGAAGATTGCATAAAACCAAAGGCTCCCACTGCTGTGTGCACCAATGAGTAGAGAGAGCCACTGTTCTCATGCACATCGATAGCTCAAGATGGGGCTCAAACCGAGGTTTTTTGACTTAATGCATATAATGCATTAAGGTTTAAAAAAAAACAAAAAAAACACCTTCTGGCTTTAGAACCTCTTTAAGGGAAGGTACACCAGAAATGGTCGTTCATATTTTTCCATGTATGTGCTGGAGGAATTGAGATTAACCCATTGCGTTTTTTTGCGTATACGTTTAAATAAAAAAAAACTTTTAGGCCTGAAGATTGCATTAAACCCTCAAAACATTATATATTTTGTAAAAGCAAACAGTCTAGAGAATAAAATAGTGGTAGTTTAATTTTTTTTAATGTTACACAATACTACTGCAAAGGACTAGTAAATGCAAAATTTCAGTAAAAACTACCTTGAAGTTAATTTTAGGGTGCACAAACGCAATAAATGTATGCGCAGGGATAACCAGATACCCAACATATCAAACCTTAAATTTGTGTGCAGCCATGAAATGGCAACAAACTTTAGTACCCTACATTTTTCTAGGGTGATGCTTTAAAAACCTCCTAAAGGTCATCAGTTTAGTTACGTAGGAGCTCTGGTACTGGAATTATTGCTCTCACGTGTGCATTCGCAGTGATACATAACATGTTTATCACAATTGTGTGGGGGTGAGCTGGAATTTTATATTTTATGTGATTCGGTAAAACTTTTAATTTTTTTTACCTTTTTTCCAATCACATTGGGTACAAAATTGTTCTACACATTGCTTTTGGTAGGTGAGGTGCCCCTTATTAGGGGGTTTGGAAGCTATCGGGCGGCTACATAGCCTCTGGATTGCTTCCATATGACAGCCAGAAATTCGTTTGTTAGGTGCACACACAATGCAGACGTTTGTGTAAACCGCCCCCACTGTCAGGTCTGCACAATGTACAGATTTTACAGTAAATGGGAACGAAAGAGGTTTATTTGTGGTGTCTCATCCTCTATGTTGGATTTGATAAGTGGTGGCAGTTGGGACAGGATACCAAAAAGCTGGCAAAGTGGTACTAAAAAGGAAGAGCAGGAAAAATGTTTTGCAGCTAATTAGGTTAATGGGCAATAGTCCGTAACATGATTGTGTATAAAAAGAGAATCTTAGAGAGTCAGAGTGTTTCAGAAGTAAATATAGGCAGAGCTTCACAAATCTGTGAAAAGCTGCATCCAAAAATTGTAGAACAATTTCAGAATATTGTTCCTCATGGAAAATAGCAAAGACTTTAAATATATCATCATCACAATACATATCATCAAAAGATTCAGAGAATTTGGAAAAATCTCTGTGCGCAAGGAACAAGCAAATAATGGTTGATCGTGACCTTCGGACCCTCAGATGGCAATGTATTAAAAACAGGCATGATTCTGTGATAAACATCACTGTATGGCTTCAGGAATACTTCCAAAAATCACTGTCTGAACACAGTTTGTTGTGCCATCCAGAAATGTAAAGTAAAGCTCTATTATGCAAAGAAGCCATATCTGAAGATGATCCAGAAACGTCACGGTCTTCTCTGGGCCTAAACTCATTTAATATGGTCTGTTGTAAAGCGAAAAATGGTTCTGTGGTCAGATGAATTGAAATTTGACATTCTTTTTGGCAACCATGGCCGCTGTATCCTCCAGACTAAAGAGGAGAGGGACCTCCTGAAATGTTATCTGTGCTCAGTTTCAAAGTCTGCATGTCTGATGGTATGGGGTGTATTGGTGTGTATGGATTGAGTAGTGTGCACATCTGGAAAGGCACCAAATATGCTGAAAGATATATCGAGGTTTTAGAGCTGCATATACAGTACTCCCATCCAGATGAAGTCTTTTTTCAGGGAAGACCTTACATATGTCAGCAGAACAAGATTAAACCGAATACTGCATCTATGACAACAGCGTGGCTTCGTAGTAGTCTGGGTGCTTAACTGGCCTACCTGTTGTCCAGACCTTTCACCTACTGAAAATATTTGGCACATCATGAAACATCAAATACGAGAAAGATAACCCAGGAATGTTGAGAAGTTAGAATCCTATATCAGGTAACAATCGGAGAACGCTCCACTCCCAAAACATCAGCAACTGGTCTCCTCCATTCCCAGATGTTTACAAAATGTTGTTAAAAGAAGGTGACACTACACTGTGATGGCCCTTTCCCAACTTTTTTGAGACGTGTTGCTGCCATAAATTTCAAAACTACCTTATTTTTTTTCTTAAAATGGCACATTTTCTCAGTTTAAACATTTGATATGTTTTCTATAGTGAATAAAATATGAGTTTATGACATTTGCAAACCACTGAATACTGTTTTTATGTAGATTTTACACACCATCCCAACTCTTTTGGAATTGGGGTTATGTGTGTATATATCTGTAATATAGAAATGTAAAATGGTTTATCCAGATACCACATAGTACTTACCTTAAGCATTAGTTTAGACATACTTCTTAACTTGTCTGCAGTGTAGTACTGCCTGTGTAGTAATGGGTGATTGGCCATTTTTCTTAAGTGCATCATTACATTGCATAGTTCAGTATTTTTCTCTAGAATAAAAAATAAAATTAAATTAGCTCTACTATTTTTTTCTGGTAAAATCACTATACTCCTGACTATACTCCTTTTCACCAGGACTTGACATGAAACAAGCAGAAATCAATACAATCAGCAAAACAAATAAGGAAGGGGCAGTAACCTTAAGGATTTTTTTTTTTTACTTTAAAGAAAAGTATTTAGTGGACAAAACCTTGCACAAATAATGAAAAAGACCTATATATTTATAAAGAAGTGCCTGTGTTGACACCAAGCAAAAAAGGATTTCCAGGTACGATAGTAATGCTTTCTGGTAGTGACTATGGAATTCCTTGCTTGGCTGGATAGAAGCAGGGGTAGGGGAAGGAGCACCCTTAATCCATACCAATAAAATGCTGTGCTGGAAAGGTCTCAAAATTGAGCAAATAGGACAGCCTTGAAGGTGGCTACGACGAGACCCAAAACGTAATCTCAAGTTCCAAGTGTGAATTCTGAGAGAGCACAGTTTTTGCTTGGGCTGTGTCTAGAATAAGACCCCGTATTCGAGGCGAAGAGAAGGTTGGAGAGCAGATTTTTGGAAGATGATCATCCAGCCAAAATTCCAAAGCATCCAAATTGTCCTGTGGACATTTGCAGATAGCTAGATGAGAGAAAAGTCCTTTAGAAGATAGTCTTGATAACCTGTGACCAGGATGCTCTCAGTTCTGAGATGGGCAATGAGAGGAGCAAGAATATATGTGAAAAATCAGGGAGCAGAGGATAGACCAAATGGCAGTGCATCAAACTGGAAGTTGTACAAATTATTGATATTTATCTCATGATGTGTTGCAGGGAATCACAGAAAAAAAGATCAGATGAAAGTTGCTATAACTGCTCTGCAACTGCCCAATCCTGAAAGACAGGGTCATGTTGGTTGTTCATTATCCTGATCCAGTTAGCTGTGGTTTGCAATACTGAAATAGCAGCCAGAGCTGGTTGCAGGGCTGGGCCTGCGAGGAATTTTAAGAGGAAAAAAAAAGTTTTAAAAGCATCACAGATTCTTTGTCCAGAGAATCTTTGAAAGATGGAACATCATCAGTGGGTACAGAGAGTTGTTAGTTTAGACCACAAGAACAGTCAACATTTTCAACAAGATAGAGTTCAAAAAAAGATTTTTGTGAAAGTGAGTGTGATAGAGAAAATCCTTTCAGGAGTGACCCAGACATCACAGAACGCACATTCTATCTGTTCATGAACAGAGAATGTTTTGCAAGGCTTAGTAGGTCTCTTTGTGCCCAAAGGGGTGTGGCAAGATGGAGAACAGTCTACCTGTATAATGTCAAGGCTTTTGCGGACAGAGCCAATACGTTTTTAACATTAGCAAGTATATTGGGGGAAGCTCCCTCTTCAATACAGTGACCATGTGAGGGAGAGAAATCTTCTGCAGCTTCCTCCAATACGGTCTCTAATGTATCCTTTGTTACCTTCTGATTCAGCATCCTCTAGGACCAGGATATCAAATTTCGACTCTGGATGAGAAACGGAGCAGAAGAGGTGAGGCATTTTTGATCTCTGGACAAAGATGGCTAAATTAAGGTCGTAATTTGTCCACGAAATTGTGACATACATACAGAAAAGTCTGCTTTTGTCAAATAGGCTGCTTGTTGCACTCCTGAAATAGGACTAGCATTGGATGCTGAACCCGGTGTTAAGATCGGTTCCTGCTCCAGTGGAATGCATCATCACTTTAAGTGTTGAGCACACCTTAGACCTGCTGTCTGCCATATCTACAAATGAGGGTACTACCCTGTGGGGGGACACGGAGTAGAGTGTGGGAGGTAGGGAAAGAGTGTCTGGTAGGAGTATACAGGAACCCAGGAGTAGACCATCCTGCTACGAATCCTCATGGTGAAAGGGCGGGAGGAAACGCCTAAATACCTTATTCTTGGCAGCAGTGATTTTAAAGTGTGCAACCTGTGGTGTGCTGTAACACCTGGAAAACCACGTGAGACTAAGCTCTGGGTGGATGTAAAGTTTGAAAAGTTTACACTGTAAAGTGAACACATTCCAAACATAGTCCTGCTTTTCTGACAGTTAAAACGTACAAACATATACTACTCAGGATTGTAGGGCCACAGTAATGGATCAGAGATACAGGGTGACCCTGTCTTAACTGTCTAATTCGATGGTCCCCCATATAGGGTCCAGGCTACACTGTGACGGTCAATTATACAGAGTGACCCTGTGTTACCTGTTCACAAAGTTGGACTGTATATAGGGTCCAGGCTACACTCCTCAAGGCAAGCATACCATTGAAGGGGTCTTTGGGGGCTGGGCTCGATTGTGATGGACCACGGCCCTGAATTTGTATAGCATCCTGTGGCTAACTTAAGTGTCAAGGTGAGAGCCTCACGTAAGATTCAGTGCCAAAAGTCTGTCAAACAGGCACAGTCACACGTGGACTGAAATTCATCCGGTTGCTGCTGAAATGGACAAATTTTGATCCATCAATGGACAGCTTTATCAGACATACATTACCTGTGCCTTCAACTGATCTCTTTAGTTTCTGCATTAGGTCATTATACAGCTGCTGCTGCTTCTTGGACAATGTGCAAAACTTAACATGATCTTGCTTAGGAGGTAGTTGCTTGAGGACCTGGGAGAAACAAATATGTTGACAATACTACCAGAAAGAATAGTACAGATTTCCAATAATTTGCATGTAATATGTACACGTTAGTAAAATGTACTCATAACAAACCATACCTCACTTTTAACTCTTCTGAGAATGAATGGCTTCATGATTCGTTTAGCATGAGCAATTCTTTCTTTTTCAAAAGTGCTTTGTTCATCAGTAGATTTCTAAAAAAAAAAAAAAAAAAAAAAAAAAAAAGAAAGTATCACATTAAAATATAATTAGGACACTACTTTAGAAAACTTTTAGACTGTTTTTTTAATCTGGTAAAGCAAAAAAAAAAGGAAGGGAAAAAAAGAGGAATGTTGACATAATTGTAAATTCCATATCTTGGAGCACAGTACAGTAGCTACAATCACGTGATTGGACCCAGGCAAAAATTTTGCTGAGTCCTGCCCCCAGTGTATAACCCTGACCACGCTGTGAGAATCCAGTTTTGTTAGAAAGCAATGCATAAAATGAGGAGAGGGACCCATGTCTGTACTATATTTATACATCTAGATAAAGAATTTACAAGTATGTCAAAACTCTTTGTCTTTATCATACAGTGCAGGACTTGAATTATAGACCATGTGACATCTCCAAGCAATAATCGAGGGATGGGAAACAAAACAGTAGCAACAGACCCAAAGGAAGACAAGCAGGGTCAGTAGACCCAAACAGTCCATCGATAGTGGAAACACCTCACTGCTGGAACAAACACCAACAGACATTCAACAGCCTATAGTGTTAAGGAACATGAAACAATACAGGCAGAGGCTCCAATCAAATAGAATAGACTGCAAATGCCTCAGAACCCCACCTCAATGAGAGGATGCACTTAAGCAGGGATGGGGAGACCTGTTCCAAGTAGGCAGAAACCACCTAAAAAGTGGGTACAAAACAATCATCCATTAAGCAGAAAACAGAGGGAGTAGGGCTTGGCTAGTCTCAATTCCCTACAGGAGTCCCCACATGAAACCAGGGAGAACACATTATCAGCATAAAATGCCCTGCTGGTGCAAGTGCTAAGGATATAGGGAGAGGATATTGAAGGCTGAATAGGACCCACAGGACACAAGTTGGCATGCAGTAAGTTGGATCAGGCAGACCATTTTTACAATATGATGAACAATTAAAAATTTGGATAAAGTTGCCCCCATCAGATCACTAGGTGGAAACAGCTTAGTAGGGACCAATGAGCAGGAAAAAGTAACCTGCATGAAAGAGGACCTTTTTAAGATAAGTGCCCTAGCTGCAATACACAATATATGTAGAGGAAAGATGAGCACCGAAGAACCCCAGGTAAAAGAGGGATGGTAACCTGTCCAACACATGGGGATGGGGATACATTGTCTAGCACTAAGGTCAGTGCTAAGGAAGTGAAATCAGGATAGTCACCTCTAGTTGAGAGAAGCGATCCCATGATTTGCAACTGTGGAAGAAGTAGGGAAAGGCACAACAGAGTTTGAGACAGAGTCTTGAGGGCTGATACCAGGGAAGGATATGTCCTGGTGCAATGGAGCAGTAGGGGCTAGGTTGGTGTAGCCCGATTGTGAGGCCAGATGCTGAAAAAGAGATACAATACAATCCAGGCTTAAAGTGGTAGTTAAGTCTCAAAGTTTATTTTTAACTACAGGTAAGCTTATACTAAAGCTTACCTGTAGGTAAAATAAATATCTCCTAAACGTTCACCTTTTAGGAGATATTCTAGAGGGCAGCAGCCGGTGACGTCACCAACGCATGCGCTCTGACGTAATGGCACACCCGTTCTGCTCCTTCATAGCTGTGCGCCGCGGCTGTGACTCCCGCATGCACCGGAGTGATATAATCACTGCTCAACCATTCAAGCGGCCTGTAAATCTGGAAGGAAGACCAGGTGAAGATGAAAGCCTCTGCAGTGGTGACAGCACGCCGCTAGAGGGATTAGTTCTCAGGTAAGTCATTTATAATATGCTAGCATGCAATGCATACTAGCACATTATGCCTTTACCTTGAAGTTTTTTTTTGTTTAAGATGTACTACCGCTTTAATGATGTGCAGCTTCAGAAAGTGTTTCAAGTGGGAGAAAAACACAGGGTTAAGGAAAAACTGTTCATTCCTAGCAATGAGTAGAAAAGGATAAAAACAGAGAGGGCTGGAGATGACAAGAGAAAATTACTGTGTCAACACCAGCAAACAGAATGAAAGAAAAGGTTCAGGCTTCTCATTTTAAAAGTATCAGAAGGCTATCGCTTCATCTCTGACACGGGGTAAACTTTTAAATGTAAACAAGGCTTTTTGGTAGCTCAGCTGGGTTTATGGAAGGAAGGCTTGCTATTACTGGAAGGACTCACAGTAGCTAATGGTGTCAAACAGATCTAATCCACAAGGTAGGGGAGATCCATTCCAGAGGTAATTGTGATCTTGGTTAATGGGGCCCGAACCTTATAGCGTCAGTAGCCATCTTGATGTATTCATCTGTGGCATTACCAAAGAGGTTTGCCATCAAAAAGCATCTTTCTTGTGCTACAGCCATAAAATCCTGTGCATATAGACAAAGTAAAGACATTCAGGAGATCTGACAAAATTGCCCAATGTGTCTACACAAGACAGTAGGGCTGAGGGCACAAGCTGCATCTTTAAATAAAACTGATGATCACCTATATAGGAGAAGAAAGCTCAGTATGGGTTTCTCCAGTCCATTTAACAATAGGTTTATTAATACAGGTGAAACTTGAAAAATTAGAAAATCGTGCAAAAGTTCATTTATTTCAGTAATGCAACTTAAAAGGTGAAACTAATATATGAGATAGACTCATTACATGCAAAGTAAGATAGTTCAAGTCGTGATTTGTCATAATTGTGATGATTATGCCTTGCAGCTCATGAAAACCCCAAATCCACAATCTCAGAAAATTAGAATATTACATGCCATCAATAAAACAAGGATTTTACATAGAACAATATCGGACCTCTGAAAAGTATAAGCATGCATATGTACTCAGTACTTGGTTTGGGCCCCTTTTGCAGCAATTACTGCCTCAATGCGGCGTGGCATGGAAGCTATCAGCCTGTGGCACTGCTGAGGTGTTATGGAAAACCAGGATGCTTCAATAGCGGCCTTCAGCTCTTCTGCATTGTTCGGTCTCATGTCTCATCTTTCTCTTGGCAATGCCCCATAGATTCTCCATGGGGTTCAGGTCAGGTGAGTTTGCTGGCCAATCAAGCACAGTAATCCCACGGTCACTGAACCAAGTTTTGGTGCTTTTGGTAGTGTGGGGCAGGTGCCAAGTCCTGCTGGAAAATGAAGTCACCATCCCTATAAAGCTCGTCTGCGGAAGGAAGCATGAAGTGCTCCAAAATCTCCTGGTAGACGACTGCATTGACCCTGGACTTAATTAAGCACAGTGGAACAACACCAGCAGATCACATGGCTCCCCAAATCAACACAGACTGTGGAAACTTCACACTGGACTTCAATCATCTTGCCGTGTGTGCCTCTCCATTCATCCTCCATACTCTGGGTCCTTGGTTTTTTCCAAATGAGATGCAAGAGTTGCTCTCATCAGAAAAGAGGACTTTGGACCACTGAGCAACAGACCAGGTCTGTTTTTCTTTAGCCTAGGTAAGACGCTTCTGACGTTGTTTGTTGTTCAGGAGCGGCTTGATAAGAGGAATACAACATTTGAAGCCCATGTCCAGGATCCGTCTGTGTGTGGTGGCTCTTGATGCACTGACTCCAGCCTCAGTCCACTCCTTGTGAAAGTCCCCAACACTTTTGAATGGCCTTTTCCTGACAATCCTCTCCAGGCTGCGGTCATCCCTGCTGCTTGTGCACCTTTTTCTTCCACACTTTTCCCTTCCACATAACTTTCTATTAATGTGCTTTGATACAGCACTTTGGGAACATCCAAATTCTTTTGCAATTACCGTTTGAGGCTTTCCCTCCTTATGGAGGGTGTCAATGATGGTTTTCTGCACAACTGTCAGGTCAGCAGTCTTTCCCATGATTGCAATTCCTACTGAACTAGAATGAGAGACCATTTAAAGGCTCAGGAACCCTTTTCGGGTGTTATGGCCTAATTAGCTGATTAGAGTGGGTCACTTTGAGCCTAGAATATTGCACCTTTTCACAATATTCTAATTTTCTGAGATTGTGGATTTGGGGTTTTCATGGGCTGTAAGCCATAATCATCACAATTATGACAAATCACGACTTGAACTACCTTGCTTTGCATGTAATGAGTCTCATATATTAGTTTCACCTTTTAAGTTGCATTACTGAAATAAATGAACTTTTGCACAATATTCTAATTTTTGAGTTTCACCTGGATATAAGGAAGCTACTGCTCGTTCTAGAGTAGGGCCAGCCAGCGCAAAGGAGGTTCTCAGAACAGTAGTGTAATGGAACCGACCCCAGAATGCGCTTGGGTACTTTTGTTAGACTACCGCTTCCCCGTCCAAACACAGACAACAGACACCACAGCTGACCATACAAGACTAGACGACACCAATCTTGAAGTAATCCAGAAAGTAGACTAGTTTATTTTAACACAGATACAAGATATATACACTCAAAGGAACAATCCCCCTCCCTACATAATGACACAGGGTGGGGCAATCTACATTTAGTAACAAGAGACACACCAACAGACAGTCCCATCAGGAGAGAGGGCTGCTGGAGACACCCCCCCACCAAGCCAATACACAAACATATACATCCCATAATAGTTTGCTCCCATGCAAGACACACAATAGAACAATGGGATGCAACCACATGGCATTTAACAATCCACAACCCCCACCCCACTTATACATGTCTACACAATATTCGGACAGATCACCCTGTGCCCCTAACAGGCACAGGGTGACTTACACATAATAGAGATATGGGGAGCTGAGACAGGGGTCTGCCCACCTCTCCAAAGTGAGCTGGGCTCCATGGGTCTCCCACCCAAAGTGACTCCTGTCACAAGTATCCTGTTGCTGCTGTTTAGTGTTTGGTTACCCCTCGATTACTTGTGAATGTCACCTGACCTATGAATTGAGCCCTACGCTGTATGATAAAGACGAGGAATTTTGACGTTTATGTGTAAATTCTGTATCTTGGCGCACAGTACAGGACATACTGTAGGTTCCTTTCCTCTCTTTATTGCTTCCTAACAAAACTGGAGTCTCACACCATAGTCGGGTAATAAGGAAACACTGTAAGATTGTCCCTGTGTTACCTTATGCATGTTGATGGTCTCATCCAGGGGTCCAGGCTTTACCCAGCATTATGGGAATACTCTCAGAGGGTTCTATTCGCATAGACCACGGCCCTGCACAGCACCCTGCAGCTAACTGCACAGATTGCACAAAGTGCTGAGGTGGGTATCCATGTAGGATCCAGCGCCTGATGCAAACAATACAAGCCAGCCTGGCTGCCGTTGAGTCCAGTTATAGTTCCCAAAGTTTACATAAGGGTTAACAATCCAGAAACTGCTAATGAGCATCAAAAGCAGTTACTGTAGATGTTGACAAAATAAATGAAAGGGAGAAGGCATCCATCAGCTAAGGGTATTGAACAAAACCCAAAAAACTGCAGTCTCATTGCGTGGGCAAGGTTTTATACATACACTAGGGCGTGGACCCAGTGAAGCTTTTGTCAGTATCCACCACCTGAAAGTAGCAGCATATAAACCATGGTCTATGAATTGTCCTGTCCTGTATCATATGATGAAGATATACAGGTGTTAAAAAAAAAATGGAAACCCGACATGATTTGCAGGTGTGAAAGTGACGCCATGTTTCGCATTGAAACCAGAAGTCATGTAACATTCTTTTGCATAGGCTGTGTGATGAGACACCTAGCTAACAGATGGTAAGCCTCACTTTCGTCATTCCCTGCTAGCAATACAGAGTCATGTCAGAGCTTCAAAGAGGGCAAATTATTTGTGCCCGGTTAGCTGGCTGCTCTTTGACTGAAGTTGCCAATTTGCTGTGTCACAAGGTACAGTATCAAAAGGTAACGGCATACTGCATACAGTTTCTGGGAAAACATCATCTGATAAGCATAAGCGCTGTCGACATGGTCAACTGACCGAAAGAGACAAAAGGACATTGCGCAAGATTGTGACCTAGAATAAGAAAACTGCTGCAAAATTGACTGCAGAGCTAAAACTCAGTCCCATGAAGTTTTAGATTGAGCTCTGCAGTCACTTTTGTAGCAGTTGTTTTCTCATTTGCCCTCTTTGAAGCTCAGTAAGCTCTGACACGACTCCATATTACTAGCATATCATGCAGTGAATGACGAAAGTGAGGTCTCCCACTTGTTAACTAGGTGTCTTATCACACAGCGGAAGCTAAAAAAACACACACAGAGGTTTGATTGAACACTCATGTTCTTGTGGTGAAATCTGTTAACCAAATAAATTCTAGCCTTTTAAAACACTGCGGGCAAGAAAGCTGAACTACATTATAAATTGCCAACAGATTTCATACATAACTATTTACTGTGGCACATAAATTTCAGTCTTTATGTTCCTCTACAGTAAATGCCGTTCCACAAGACACACATACAGTATTTATATATAAAAGTGCATATATGTATGCAGTTCAAGAGTCAGTAGGCCTTACTAGATTATAAAAAAAAAATGCAGGTCCATGCATTCTTGTGCTTAAAGCTGAAGTTTAGGTACATAACAATTCATGTATAGTGGGACCAAGAGGAACAGTGAATGGGGGGAGTGCCATATTCCAACAGGCAGAACTGACAATGTTGGTTAAGATATAGTCTAAATTCAGGGCGTACCAGCTGTCCACTCATCTGGAATTTAAACAATGGTTTTAAGTAGAGATGTAAGACTCCAAAACTAGCCTTGTGGCTAATCTGACATTACCGCTTTGGATGAAAACATTCTTTTGAGTTCACTGGTGCTGCTACTGAACATGTGTGGCATGACGAAATTCAAGAGTGACATCAGCTCCAGTAGGTTATTCTGAACGGGGGTTCCAGTCAGAAGGAGACGATGTTTGGCCTGTAAGTAAAGAGTGAAAAAAGTACTGTTGGCAACTCTTAATCCTTAGCGTAACAAAGAGCTTCTCAAATGATGTGCAGCCTCAGCTTTCTGTAAACAGTAAAGCTAGGCATAAAGAGTATGGACCTTACCCTATAGGGTAATGAAGCTTAACTGTTGTGATATAGAAGTATTTAACAACAACTCCCATTTGATCCAAATGTCCAATAATGGAGTTAGAAAAATAAATAAATAAAAAATTAAACTGACAAAGATAATAAACACACGAAAATCCACAAGCTCGTAACTGCATTCAAATGAAAATTCTGGCAGTGGGCAACAGAAAGAGCAATAGAAGCAGCTGCTTGCTGTGTTTTTGTTTTGCTACATCTGTACTTTGGTTGATATATTGAGAAAATAGTTTTAATAAAATTAAGGTTTATTTTATTAAAAGTCAATACGCAAAAAAAAAAAAAAAAAAAAAAAAAAGGACAGGTTTAAACTGCTCATTACGTCCAGCAGAAGGGGCTTTAGTTACCAGACTCCCACTGCAGTAGGCTCCAATGCTGTTCTCTGTTCGAAACTCCCTTGTGTGGGCAGAATATACAGATATAGCACAATTTTACAAAATGGTGGCTTGATACATTTGGTGATTTTTTTTTTTTTCATGAGTTTGCAGTTGGTCACCAATTAAGATTCTATTAATGAAGAATCTAAAGTTAAACAGGGTCCTTCCCAAATTAAGACAAGAAATCAATAATAATCAGTCCCATTTCATGAAACCACAGACCTTTTAGGGTGTAAGCACAAGCACATAAGAGATAAATATTCATTGCAACGAGGGTGCATGCACGGCGATCCAAGATGGCGGACATCTGAATGGTAAGCTCAGCCTTCATAGTCCTCCCACTCCTCCTCTGCAGCACCCACAGACCCGGGAGCACTCTCCCTGAATCGGGATGTCCTCAGGCACCCCCCCCCCCCCCCATGGGCAAAATCGGGCATTGGAAGCCACCCACCGGATCTGCGGTCTTCCATGTTGGATCACTTCTTTACTAGGCCTGCATCCCCGGCCTCGAGTACCTGCGGCGGTCCGAGTGAGTGCTCCGGAGGGTCCGCTGAAATGGAGGGGACAGACACAGACGCCTCTTCTGCTCTACTTCCCACCTTGGTGGTCCCTACTTGGACAGTGGATATCCTGAAGGCCAAACTGCAAGTATTCTTATGCAATATCACCCGCACTATCTCTGCTGAGATTGGGAAGCTGGCTCAGGAGCTTAGGGGGGAGATAACCCAATTGGGATACCGCACAGACCACCTTGAGTCAAAGTTTGAAGGATTGGTACAGTATGTCCATGTCCTGGAAGAGGATAATGCAAATCTGAAACACTCAGTGTCTCAGTTACAGCTCCAGCAGGAAGACCTGGACAACAGGGAGCGCTGCCAGAATATTCGTGTTCGTGGCATCTCTGAAACAGTTCCTGACTCCCAACTTCAGCGTTGCCTGCTGTCTCTGTTTACCATTCTGGCCCTCAAAGTCCCAGATGTTGATTGGCGTATGGACCAGGCCCATAGATCATTAGGCCCAAAGCCTCCTGTGGGCACTAGTCCCAGAGATGTTATCATTCGTTTTCACTACTTTGATAGCAAAGAAGCCTTGCTCTCTTCCACCCGCAACAAGTCCTCCCTGGAATTTAAAGGAGACGGGCTTCAAATTTTCAGTGATTTATCCCCCATCACCTTGGCAAAAAGACGTGTCTTGAAGCCGGTCACCACTCATCTCCAGCAGCACTGCATCACTTACCGGTGGGGATTTCCTTTCAAGCTAGTTGTCTCCAAAGATAATGCCCAAGTCGTACTTCGTGACCTGCATGAAGCGAACTTCTTTAAACAGTTGGGACTCCCTCCCCTGCCGGAAGAGACCTTACAGCAACCTCCTACTCTGTCCAGGTCCTCTGTTATTCCAGGCAAGAGCTGGACACCCGCTTAACCTGGGAAGAAGAGATTTCCTCGCACTCAACGTCCCCAACTTCCTGGTTCGGTGGGCTCCACCACCTGACTCTTTACTATGTATCAGCCCTGTTAATTGAGCTCCTATATCCCCATGTGTGCCTTAGCAATTTTCTTAATAATTGTGTCCTGATTACAGCTATTATGTGGATTGTTAAGTTGAAAATAAGCATCCAGGCCCCGAGAGAGCTCTTCTTGAAAATGTTCCGAGCACAGAAAACTCACATGGTGGCGCCAGTGGCAGACCTTAGGGGAGGAGGTAGGAAAAAGGAGATCAAGTGACAGTGAGGCGTGATCTGACCAAGTCATCAGAATGATCTCCAAGGAAACCAAAAAGGGGATCAGGGGGGTGGCGACAAAAAAATTATCCAATCGGGAAAACATGCGATGTGGAATAGAATAAAACGTGAATTGCCTATGGAGAGGATGTTTGACCCGCCAGGCATCAGAGGCGATGCTCCCTGATCAGTTTATGGATCATTGGACATCCGAAAAGAAGGGGATGGGAACAACGCTAATTTGACCTGGGAGGAGGGAGTGGAGTAAAGAGCTTTTAAAGCAGCTACAAACAGACCACTGAACCCAAATCTCTCCAGGACTAGAAACATGTAGGGCCAACTTAATCGCTTCACATGCCATCTACCATTTTGTCTTCTCTTCAGTCAAATTATCCCTATCGATGGTGCCTACACGCCTTGAGGTATTTAGGTGCTAACCTTACCTCCTCTTACCACTCCCTTTATGATGCCAACTTTTCCCCTGTTTCATGTTATTTCTCAATCCTTAAAATCTTAGGACAATCTTGCCATCTCCTTCCTTGGAAGGATTAATGTACTAAAAATGACCATACTGCCCAAACTACTGTACCTGTTTGAGACGCTTCCTGTTCCTATTCCCATGTCAAAGTTGCGTTCCCTTCAGAAATCTTTCCTCCATGTCATCTGGCATAATAAATCTCAGCGAATTGCCTGTACTGTCCTTCTCTCTTCTCAATCTAGGGGAGGTCTGGGGGCCCCAGATATTGTGTCATATTATTCGGACTCATCTTCGTACTCTTGTCGCATGGTCTTCCCAGCGCCCCCCCCCCTCTAATAAACGGGCTGAGATTGAGTGGCTACAATTGCATCCAATGCACCCTTGTTCTCTACTCTGGTCTATGACCAACATTGAAACCACCTCTTAGAAACATCTGCTGCTTGGACTCATGCATTTTATATCATCTATATCAGCGGTTCTCAACCTGTGGGTCGAGACCCCTTTGGGGGTCGAACGACCCTTTCACAGGGGTCGCCTAAGACCATCGGAGACACCGTTCCTCTATCCGTCTCCAGGCGGGTCCGCCAACATGCAGGTAGACTCTATGAGGCAGTGGTGAGGGCGGCCGGAGGGGCTCGGCAGGGTGTCCCGCACTCCCGGCTTGCTGCGGGCCTCTCACGCTGAATTAACACCAGCACACTGACTGGCCTGCTCCCTCTTCCCTGTGCGTTATGAGTGGCTGGCCAGTCTGGAGGCTCCTCCCCTGCAAGGGGCATGTCGGAGTGCCCCGCTGCCACCCATTGGCTGCCCTTGCACCTGCTGCACGTTTCCCTGAGTGGGCAGCTGCTCACAACAGCTGGATAGATGTGAGCCGGGCCCCCCTTTTTTTTCTGGGGAGGGGGGATCTGGTTACCCGCAGAGCAAGTGCCCGACAGCCGCTTACCTCCCACAGAGGCTTCTCCTCACAGCACTTGTACGAGGGCTGACACTGGGGCACATGGCCCGCTAGTGGAAAGTACACAGCGACCAGCAATTCCAAACTTTCCGGGGTCATACAAGGAGCCTCAGGCAGGACGACTTGGTGTGGAAGAGGGCTGATATCCCTGGGGGGGGAGGGGGGAATACTGGTCATGCACACTTCAATTTTACTATCAGATCCAATTGGCAATCAGATTAACTTCCGTTCCCATCAAATTCCTTCAGTCGGATGACCAGGCGCAAAATGATCGACCGTTTTGCAATAATTTTATGGTTGGGGGTCACCAGAACATGAGGAACTGTATTAAAGGGTCACGGCATTAGGAAGGTTGAGAACCACTGATCTATATGGAGGCGGAGTAGGGTTAGATTTGCTCTGTCTTCTTTGTGTTCCCCCCTGACCAATGTCATACTTAATTCCAGTCTCCCTGATAGTTTGGCTTTGGCTCGAGTGAGTCCCTGGGCCAAGGCTGATCTACTTCAATTGCGACACTTGGTCCACCCAGTGACCCATAAGCTAAAGTCATTTTCTGAGATTCAAAAAGCTACTCGTATGTCATCTCACCAGTATTATGTTTATCTGCAGATACGTCACTTTTTCTCCTCCAAAGCCCCGTCTCTAACCCTTAAAAAAAGCCTACTCTCTTCAAAACGCATCTGCATTCAGGGTCCATACCAACAGGGCATAATTTCCTCCACTTGTAAGCTGCTTCAAGATGCCTGTCCCCTTTCTATTAATACACACTTTTTTATGCGTAAATGGCCCCAAATAATCCAACGTGATATTGCCTTGGATCAATGGAGTAGGATTTAGGAGGCTGCCTCCAGATCTTCTCTTTGTGTAGTATATAAAAAAAACACTTATAAAAATACTGAAGTTTTGGTATAAGACCCGTGAGGTTCTCCATGCCCACAATCCAAGTGTTTCTCCTGTCTGCTGGTGATGTGGCAAGGAAACTGGCTCCCTCTTATAATTTATTTTCTGGACATGCCAGAACATTGCACCCTTCTGGAGAGAGGTCCTTAACCTTTTGCAGCTACTTTTACAGGCTCCTACTCCATTTGAGCCCATCTACTTTTTGCTGAGCCTACCTTTTTCAGGCCTCTCCAAATTTCCCAGGAAACATCCCTCCCATGTTTTAACATCGGCCAGGAGAACCATTTCGATGAATTGGCTTTCTACTACGCCTCCTACATGTTTGGAATTGGTGAAGGTTATAGTAGAGATCAGAAGACTGGAGCACCTGATTGCCTCATATGCAAACTCTGTCACCATCTTTGAAGCAGTTTAGGAACCATGGGATCTTTCAGTTTCCGATTTGTCTACTCAATTGTCTGCAAACAATGGCTAATTTACTGTTATGCACGGACATTGTATGTACCTATATGCATCTCATTGATGAGCCTGTTTCTTTGTTCTTTCATTGCCTCATGATTGTTATTTCACACTTCTATGTAATTCTGTTGTACACTCTTTAAAAATTAATAAAAAGTAAATTATAGAAAAAAAAATTTCATTGCAACTTTCTGTCAAAAATCAAGCAAACCATGCAACAAGTAAACAAACCAAGCAAGCAGAAAGCCCTACGAAAAAAAAAAACTATTGCTGGTAAAAAACGTAAAAAAAATTAACCCTGGAAACAGAGAATTTACATATTAAAAGATAAAACTTTTACATTTTCAGGAAATCTGAAATCTATGCTCACAAAGAGCTGAGCAAAGTTTAGTATTACTAAACCTGAGACTGTGTTCAATGCCAGTGTAATAAAAAAAAGGTAAGGCAGCAGTTTCAATACAGGATGGTCAAATGAAAACCTGTCTAAAGTGTGTAATTTATTGGCTATATCTTAAACACGTAACATGCATCAATTGTTGAAGAATTTCATAAATCCAAAGACTGGTCAAGCATGTACAATTATGTGAATACTGGTTACATAAGCAGTAAAAAACCCCTAAAAAAACTCTGAACATTATGCTGGAAGGGGTAAACTTACATTTAAAGTCATAAGGTGCTGATAGCGAATGGCACTCATGTTCTTTAGCATGTGTCCTTCATCAAACACTGAAAAATTTAGCTTCAAGCGTCGGAACAAACTGCGATCCTCAGAGCTGCTAATTGCACAGTTGTACCTGCCATGTGTATGAAAGAAATCATCAGTAATTGTAAAGAGCTCAAAGTGTTTATGCTCTGAAGCTATAAATACATTTTTCTTGCAAAATACAGAATTACTGGTCTTATGCCAATACTTAATCACTGAAGTGAAAGACAGTTTTGTTTGTTTTTTTTCAACTTGTGATTATGCATAGTTTTTCATTGTTGTGGACATACAATTCCCAATGATCCCACAAGATGTCATCAGAGTCTGCTTTTACAATATCTAATCTTTAAACCCTTTACTTCCAGCAACTTAGATGTGTAAAGTTTGATGACATAAATTGTCTTGAATTTCTGATCTATTGTTTTAGGGATGATAAAGCTTTATAGTTGCAACACTTTTGAATATAAGCATACTATGCAGGTTTCAACAAATGCTTTTGCCTTCAATGCTATCAGTAAAGTGATTTTTTTTTTCTTTTTTTACACAATATAACAAATTGGTAAAGCCCAGAAACAATGTTTCACTTTGAATTACACTTTTTGTTTTCTGTTTACCGTTTACATCACCACATACATATGTGAACACACACACAGAAAAGAAAATTGATTTTGCAGTTCCGGGTTGGGGGCGTGCATGAACCCTACCCACACCTCCATTCGCAACCTCGTCGGTCAATCACTGGGTCCCAGCCGGTGATTACTCGCCGACACGCGGCGATCGCCAAGTATTATCGACAGGGAGAGAATTGTATGTAAACAATAGAGTTCTCTCCCCTGCCAGCTCCTGCATATTACTTTGTATAACTTTGCAAAGCATAGCCATACAAAGCAGTGTGTTTATAGTGAAGCACACACACAGCACATAATGTGAAACAGTTAACCCTTTGATTACCCCAGATGTTAATCCCTTCCTGCCCAGTGCCATTAGTACAGTGTCAATGCTTTTTATTAGCAATGATCACTGTACTGGTGTCACTGGGGATGTCAGTGACAAGTCAGTTCCCCCCAGTGTCAGAATGCCCGCCTCAGTGCCGCTATAAGTCACCGATTGCTGCCATTGCTAGTAAAGACAAAAAAAAATCATATATATATATATATATATATATATATATATATATATATATATATATACACATATATATTCACACACATACACACACTAACTTTCACGTAAACCAATTACTTTACACGTAATAAGAATTTTTTTTTTGTGGCAAAGTCATGTAGAATACATTTTGGCCTAAATTTATGCCGAAATTTGATTTTGTATTTTTTTATTGGACATATTTAATAGCAAAAAGCCAAAATTGTCTTTTTACTCAAAAATGTTGGTATTTGTTTATAGCGGAAAAAAAAAAAAAAAAAAGCAAAGCACAGGCGATCAAATACCACCGAAAGAAAGCTCCATTTGTGGGGGGGGGGATAAAAAGGACGTAAATTTCATTTGGGTGTAGCATTGCATGACCGCACAATTGTCAGTTAAAGTAATGCAGCGTTGTAATGCAAAAAATGGTCTGGTCAGTAAGGGGGGTAAATCGTCTGGACGGCAAGTGGTTAAGTAAATAGCGCAGCACTAAGAAGAATGCACTTGAGCTGAATGGGACTGGTTTGACAATACTGCACAACTTTGCATAACTGACAAATGCAAAATTTCATATACAAAAAGCATGCTCTTTGGGGACCTGAGACTTCCTTTTTTAAATTTTTTTCTTTCACAGTGAGGTGAATCAGATGTTAGTGTAGTTTAATGCAAGTATAGTTGTACAAAGAAGTTATGGGGTTTGCCATGTCATGTTATAATGTAGCACTTCAGGAATCAATGTAAGTAAAGTCTTGCTTAAAAATATGTTTTGTCCTGTAATATTTTTTAGTAATGTGGCATTTTATATATATGAAGCACAACTAGACCATATGCTGTCTTTGTTCTCGCATCTAATCGTAGTCAGGTACATTTGAAAGTGTGAATGTACCCTTAAGACAAGGAAATTAGGTGGCCTCAACACCACCTTGTCCTTGTGAAACACAAGAAAAGGCTCCTTACCAGACAAAGTCACAAGCTCAGATACCCTAATTGAGGCGATAGCCACAAGAAAAGCAACCTTGCACGAAACGAGAGGGAGAAATATCCAAAATGGATTCAAACAGTGGTCCTTGTAGGACCAACTACACCATGAAGTTAGCGGGGAGTGAACTACTGGAACAATGTGAGACATCCAAGACCAAAATAATGGAGAGCCAACAGTGTCTGTAAGGGTACTACCAATGCAGAAACCTAACCTTAAATAACTCTCAGGGCTAAGAACTTGTCCAAGCATGACTGAAGGAAATACAGGATTTGGCGTGGGGACACACTGGATGCCTTCAGCTGCCATAGTGCTCTTGTTGGGCGTTGCTGTAACTTTGTTGAAGAGTGGGATCCCTTCAGGCAAACCTGCCCTGAATTTATCCACTGCTGTATATGCTTCAACTTGGAGACTCTCAATTATAGAGTTGGGGCTGCAGTATATAGAAGAGCCTTGGCGAGGCACTGCAACTTCCACATATATTTGCAAATGTGTGTAACTAAACCTACTGTTTATAACATTAATTTTTTTTTTTTTTAGAAAAGGGTCAGTTTGTTTTTTTTTCAGGCTAGCTGGTAAGTGTGCTAGGAAATGGTTTTGTTTGTGAAGGAAGGATTATCCTTACTGTATGCCACAGGGTATTTTCGAAGATGACACTTTGCCTTTTTCGCACAAAGCCAAGTATGCTTTCCACATGCGGTGATAAACCATTTGAGAGGAGGGCTTTCTAGCTTTCAGCAAAGGGGGATTTGGAGCACACCAGACTACTGCTCCAAAAGCCAAGCCATCAAAACCAGTGACTGTGAAGTAGAACGGAACACAGGACCTTGAGAGAGCAGGCACAGACCAACAAAAGTCTGCGTGGATGCCCTTGGTGCAGTGAGAATCTGAATGCCTTTTCTCTCTACCCTCCAAAGCAGAGAAAGGCAGATATTTGAGGGAGGGGGGGCAGCATTAATAAAATAGTTTGAACTGATTCCACAGAGTGACTGAGGAGACTAGGAAGTAGACCCAAGATCCCTAAGCCTAGATAAGAACCTATGTCTGTATGTCATACTTATGTCTGGCATTCCCCAAACACCACAAAGTTGGTGAAACACCTCCACGTTGAGGGACCACTCCATGGGATCGCGCCATTGGCAGTCAATTTTCCAAGCTGGGAATTTGTACTGGACAGAATCAGAACACTACATTTTTTCCAAGTCAGTATGATTGCAGCTTCTTAAAGAGCAGCCTGCCATCTGGTACTGCCCCGATGGTTTATGTATTCTGCTTCCAGAAGCTACCAGACTGGACCTTGACTGGCAGTCCCCAGAGCAGTTCTGAAGGGCAAGAAGAATTTCTCTGAGCTCAAGGATATTTACTGGCATCCAAGCTTCCCCTGATGACCAGGTCCCCTGGACTGACAGGATGTCCAGGATTCCCCGCTAGACTGATGTTGGGTCTGTTGTCAGGACTTCCAACACCTAGGGGGAGGAAAGGATTTCACTGTTTCCATGGTTGTGTGTGTATAATTTGTTTTGTTAGGTTACCAGAATAATCATGGTCAACTGAATTAGATATTCCACCTAATAGATATTAGATAGTAATATACACTATATAGTGACAATTTGAAGGCGTTTGGCTATGTTAGCCCATCTGTTTTCTGTGAGATCACAATGGGTAGCAATTGACAGCTTAATTTTTCAAGAATCAATAGGAGGAAACCAGTTCAATGGCCCTTGGCATGCCCACCCCAAAATATCCAGAGGAAACAAAGCTCTCCTGATACAGGCAAGTCTTTTGAAAGAAGAACAATGGCCATGCATATGGTTTTTTTTGGCAATGGTTGACTTTCCTTCACTTGTTAGGCCAGTGTAGTCCTTTGACATTCCAAGTCACTATTTTCATGAAGGGCCATATGTATGTCGAGACTTCCAACGAAAAAGTCTATGGTCGGGGAAGAGGGTGGATGTCCAGGCAAAGCTCCCCCTCCCTAAATTTTGATCTTGTAGGTCCCATTAGTAATGTTGAGTAAGCGTCAAAAGCTAGATGGTAAACCAAGGTGAAACAGAGCATATGCATACGCACAACTATTCCCTTTTAAAAGTCCATCTTTATACTTTTTTCCTGTTGAGGATGGAAAAGTGATGGAACATTTTAAAAATGTATAATAGTAAAAATGGAAAAACATAAAAATGTAGCTTATTGTAGACACAAGGTAAATGAGCCTGTAGTGCCTGGACCACTCAGTAATGACATCTGCTGTGAGCCCTGATTTAAGTGTAGGTGCAAAGTACAGTAGAAAACAAAAGAAGGTAAAAGGTTTCCACTGGTTATTGTAGGAAGTAAGGTGAAATTATAGACAGAAGGAAGATCCCCAAAGGGTCTTACCATTGGGAGGAGCGATCTTCAGATGTCCACTCTAGCTCCAATAGAACAGCTAGGAGCTGATTGTTGGTAGCCTGCCTCCCTCAGGATCGCCTGGGTGTCTTGTGTAGGTGAGGTGTCTGGAGAAAATGGTCTGCCCCCTCTGGGTCTGTGAAGGAGTGGATTTCATTGTCAGGAGCAAAGATCTTCCAAGTGGCTCGATATAGTAGGAGGGATTTTATTGTCCTCACCAGAGGGTATGCGCAAATGAAAGCTCTATGCAGCCAGGAAACTTTGGATCAAAAAACAGCAGTATTTCGTGGCTAACAGCAATGAGGTGATTTTGTGCCTGGTAAATTCACTAGATGTAAGCTTTGTCTGAAACTAGCCATTATTGGATGGCTGGGAATTGCTGGAGCAATGCAAGTTGATTCCATGTACCTGCTCTACTTTTATTGGTTGTAGGTATTCAAGGGCATTGGGAATGCAATGGGCAAAATTTATGGAGGTCAGAGGGTTTCAGATGTCCTGTTATGTCCACCAAAGATTATTTCCCTACAGTCTGTTTTCTAAGCTTTCACTTTTCTCCATTAGGGCAGACTGTCTTTTATTAAGTGTTTGAAGATATCAGCAAGTCTATCATAGCATCAACAGTACTTTCCAGATGCTCCAAGGCATCTGTTCAGGTTTTGGTAAGGGGGGGAGCTTTTCTCAGATGTGAGGTCATGTGTAAGATGTGATGCTCCTTCAGTCGCCAGTTGTTTGGAGTCGCAATCAAGATCTTTAAATTGTGAGGCAGAGTCCTCTTCAGTAACTTGTGGGGGTGGTGTGCTTACGCTCACTCCCTCTTGGCTGAGCAATGCTTTTGCTTCTTTTGCTTGGTAAATGGAAATTTGCTGAACGCTGGTCTGTTTGAGTGTGCTAGATCTAGGTCGACGGCAGCAGAGTTTATTTACTTTCTTAGTCACATTAGGTGCAGGAACCAGAACTATGTTTTTAAATAATTAATACTAAGCTCTCTTATGTGTAGAAAAATTTCAGGCTATTATCATGAATTAAACCTAAAACGCAGGAGAACACTCTGGGTAATGCATACCCAGGCTGAGAGCCAGTGTTCAGACACACAGCTGTTAATCACATCAGTATAATCCTTATTTTATTTTTATTTTGTTTATGGAACCTGTCAGGACAGAAATAGAGCTACCATTGACAACTTATATTTAAAGCAACAGGTTCCATGATTGCTTCCAGAAAAATATTCAGTGCATGCCAGGTATCGTAACACCTAATCTGAATATGCTTGCTACAAAATATTTAGTAAAGATAGGGTAAAGATGACAGCCTTTAACATATATTCAGCAAAGGCAACTCAAAAATTTCTATCCTGGCAGTTTCCTTTTTAATGCATAGTCTAGTGCCTGAGAGGGAATGGGAACTGGGGGAGCAATTCATTTGCCTCAACCATCTATTGCACCATGGCAGACCTTAAAATTGGCAGATTCAGCATAGCAAAAGTAACAGTTAAATAGGCTATAATTGGTTAAAAGGAGAGAGTCACATGTTTAAACAGCTGTAGCACAAGGCAATGAATTAAAAAAATTTAATTTGCATCCCAAGCTGTCAGACGCCAAGAGCAACAGAAGAAGTGTGCCTCCCTCCCATGTTGTGATCCTTTTTATGTGGCATTCGTCCCTTTCATGCGAAAGGGGACAGTTATTTGTACCAGTTGCCATAACTTGAGTTGTAATAGCCGAGTTATATAGGTATTCTTAAATGTGAGGATATATTTTAGTTCTGTGTAATTTCATTGGTCAAAAATGTTATTTATATAGGTATTACAAGTTGGTTATAATAAAAAAAATATTTATTTTACAAATAATAAAAGGTTGTGGCCATTTTGATCCAAACAAAAATGTGTAAGTGTTTAATTATTAATCTTTTTATTTGTGAATTTCAGGTTCTGCCTATGGTCCCATAACTTACTGAACCATATCTAATTACAGTGGTTTTACCATATGGCATTATTAGCCAGTCGACAGGTCTGCTGCAGTGTAGTAGTCAATTCTCTTAGTAAATAACGGAGAGAACCTGCTGCTTTTAATCACTTGCCGCTTCCTGTCCAGGCCATTTTTTGCGTTACGGCACTGCGTTACTTTAACTGAAAATTGCACGGTCATACACCACACCCACATAAAATTTATGTCCTTTTTTCCCACAAATTGAGCTTTCTTTTGGTGGTATTTGATCGCCTGTGCGGTTTTTATTTTTTGAGCCATAAGCAAAAAAAAAAGACCGACAATTTAGAGAAAAAATAAATATTTTGGAATTTTTGCTATTAAACATGTCCAGTAAAAATAAAATAAAAAAAAAATCCCAATACGTGTAAATTAATTGGTTTACGTGAAAGTCATAGCATTTACAAATGGCGGTATATACTGTAATTTTTTTTCTGTACTGGTAATGGTGGCGACCAGCGACTTTTAGTGGGACTGCGGGGGGCATTCTGACACTGGGGGGAAACTAACTTTGTGTCACTGACATTCCCAGTGACACCAATACAGTGATCAGTGCTAAAAACCAGCACCAACACTGGGCAGGAGGGGTTAATGTGCGGGGCGATCAAAGGGTTAACTGTGCCTAGGGAGTGTTTTATAGGGGGCGGGGGGTGTTGTGCTTCACTGTAAGCACACTGATCGAGATGGCTGTGCCTGAGCTAACAGGAAGACTGTTTGTAAACAAAACAGTCTTCCTCCCCGTAGGTGATTGTCAGTAATCATCGGGTGCCAGCGGGTGGGACCCAGTGATTGACATCTGCAGCCGCGAATGGTGGCGTGGGTAGGGCACGCGCACCCCCCTACCCGGAAATGAATATGAATGAATATATATATATATATATATATATATATATATATATATATATATATATATATATACATGTGATTTAGCACACCCGTGCCGCCGTGTAGCAGTATATCTGCTATACGACGACGTGTAAGCGGTTAAACAGTAGCCTTTTCTCACAGTGCTCATTTGCTACCTTTTGGCAGGTAACACTTCAAATTCTTTTCTATGAAATACTTCAAAGTTAAGACTCATTGTAAAAGACCTCACTGACAAATGTCAAAACAGAGAGGCCACCTACCTGTCCAAACATCCACACAATGTATGGTCCTACTGCACAGTCTGAATGTTTAAAGTACTAAAATCCCTTGTGCTTTCAGCACTAGCACTCTGGATTTTCACTCTGTTAGTAACAGAATTGAGCAACAGGCCTATGGACATGCACATGGCCCAAATCCAGTGGCGATTTGGCAGAGGTATGCCATCTGAAGCCCTGAGGTGTTGGATAACCAGGTAAACTTTTCAGTGTGCCATACAGGGAAACTGTTGGGTCTACACAACTGAAAGAGGTGGGGTTCTATCTGCAGAGAAATGCTAAGTATAATAAACATTTGTACTTATCCTTCTAGAATACTCACGTTGTGACAATCACATTAAATTCTATAACCTTATTAAGTATGTCATAGCGTAAGTACTTTCTTTCGTCCTGAGAACCTGAAAAAAGAGAAAAGTGTATCATTGATTGAAAGATATTTACATGCCTAAATGCAGAAAGAAAAATTACTGTGTTCTTACCATAGTATAGTAAGATATTCATGTCTGGACACCACTGATTGAATTCTCGTATCCAATTATCTGTGGAAACAAATCATTATTTTAACCACTTGCCCTCCAGAGGATTTACCCCTTTAATGACCAGGTCTCTTTTTGCTACTCGGCGCTGCACTAATTCAACTGATAATTGCGCGGTCATGCAATGCTGTACCCAAACAAAATTTTTTTTTACTTTTAATGCACAAAAACACAATATATTGGCCAATTATTTGGTAAAATATATAAGATGATGGTATGCCAAGTAAACAGGTACCAAACATGACATGCTTTAAAATGGCACATGCCCCGTGCAATGGCGACAAACTGCATACGTTTTTAATATCCATAGGCAAAGTTTTAAAAGCCTTTGCAAGCTACCATTTTAGATTTACAGAGGTTTAGTGTTAGAATTACTGCACTTGATCTGCAGTTCACAGCGATACCTCACATGCATGGTGCAACCGCTGTTTACCTACCAGCACAGGGTCAACGATCGCGCACACAGGTGTGCACACGCGGGGGGAAGGGTGATTTAATTTTTTTTTTTATTTCGATTTTTTTTTTATTATTATTTTACACTGTCCCTTTAATTTTTTTTTGGATCAGTTTTAATGCCATCACAGGGAATCCTATAACTTCAATGGGCATTTTCATATATTCTTTTTTGAGAAATCTGGGGTCTATCATACTCTAGATATCTCCTCTGCCCTTACATTATCTAATCAAACCAAGATCGGTGTGATCAGATGCTTTCCCAATTTACAAATGGCGCTCTCTATATCCTGCGAAACTGAGGTGATGAAATGCTCATAGCTCCCGACTTCTTAGGCTATAGAGATGATTGCCACCATTCTGGTCTCCAATCAGCTCTATGGTCAGCTGGCAGAAACACCGACTGCAGTCTCAGGTTCCCCCCGATGGCACGGGACTGCCCGAGAAGGCAGTGGAAGGCAGCGGGGGGGGGGGGGGGGGGGGGGGGGAATCATCTCCCGCTGCTTGTAAAAGCAATCCTGCAGCTAATTAGCCACTAGGATTGATTTTACGTGAAAGCCTGTAGCTGTAGGCATCATCCTGGTATAACCATTCACACTCCAGTGATGTACCAGTACGTCGCTCGTCCTTGTTGGGTATATATGCTATGTTCTTCATTTTTTGTATGCAGCCTGTGGGCAGAATGAAAAAAAGAGAAGAAATATCTGCCAGAAAAAGTATGTGGTATGCCACCATTAGAATATACCGCCCTGCATCCACCCACTTCTAATGGTGGGCACACATTAGGTCGCGCTGTGCCACATGCGCCAGTTCCAAGATTGTACAAATGTCTAAATAGTGGCAAGTTTGAATAAAAATTGTCCACGTATAAGTGGTACCCCATATAGAAAAAGGATGACACCAAGTCCCAAACTATCTTGCCACTGCTCCCATTGTAGCCTGGGCATCCAGGGGGCTCCACCTGACTTCTTTTCCCCAGTAAACCCGAAACTTATAAGTATAGCCTGTTGCCCTCTCTTATACATCTAAACCCCATATCTGGCACGCTTGCTGGGGAGAAATTGTTTGAATGAAAGGCGGCCAGAAAAATTAATGAGGGACTCATCAACGCAGATTTTTTGCTGGGGAGTATAGACATCTGCAAATTTTTGGTTAAGGTGAGTTACGAGGGGCTGCATATTGTGGAGCCAGTCAAATTCTGGGTCACCTTGAGAACGACAGAGTGTATTGCCATTAAAATGCATCAAACACATTATACTCTCATATCTATGCCTGGCCATAGCAGCAGAGAACACTGGCATATGATGAATCGGGTCTGTGGACCAATATAACCGCAATTAATTTTTTTTTAGTAATGCCCATAAAAAAAAAATGTTAATTCAGAAACCGTAATGGGTTTCCATGCAAATGGTCTGGCAAGGTTTGAATTTGGGTTGGTGGCGATAAATTATTGTGCATATTAATTTCTTTGATCCACAATCCACAGATCTTCCGTGAAAAACAGCTCCAAATAATCAAGGGGAGTACTTAAATTTGCTGTTTCCACCTGAATTCTGGGTTGGGCAGTGAATGGGGGAAGTACGGGTACTGCAGAAATTGTGGGCTGCAAATTGGAAGCACATCCAGAAGGATACTAGGGGCTCTACGGGTCTGTGTGAGAATTCTTGGTGGTTGCGGGACAATACTTGTGCTCTCCACTGCACTAGTACTGCACTTATGGGACTCGCCACGTCACCAAGTGATACTGCAGTGCTGGTATGTGATAGACCAGGATGTACTAGGCGGCTGGTGCTTGCCAGTTCACCAAAAGGCAGCCTAGTACTGGCATTCTGCTGCAAATGAGTCAGGAAAATTTACCGGCAAGTGCTAACAGAGATCAGGCCTGATTCTGTGAACACTGCGGTTTTGTGTGCAATGTATCAAGGGACAGTGACCTACTGACATTGCACTTGCTGAGGGAGAAGGGGGGGGGTAAGTGTAGGGGCTAAAACGCAGGTGCTGGGACTGATCCAGCTAACGGTGCGTTTTTGGGGATGCTATACTAATGTGATCGCTGGTATAGTGCTGATCTAATCAAAGATATATATATACTATACTAGCAATTGGGTGTATTGTGTATGAGTGTGTTCCTGGCAATCAACGGGTTAAATTTGATTACTGGTGTACTGATGGGCAATCTGACGCTATCTGGGAGGGGCGTGAAAACCGTGCGAGCGCGATGTATATATATACATACACACACACACGATTTTGCGCACTCGTGCCGCCCTGAAGCAGTATTTCTGCTATAGGGAGGTCAGGAAGCAGTTACAGAAGCGGTTTGTGTTATGGCGCTGCGTTACTTTAACTGACAATAGCGCGGTCATGCAACGCTGCAATAAAATGAAATTTATGTCCTTTTTTCCCCACTAATAAAGCATTCTTTCGGTGGAATTTGATCGCCTGTGGTTTTTTTTGCACTATAAAAAAAAAATCAACAATTTTGTGATAAAAAAACAATATTTTTGCTATTAAACATGTCCAGTAAAAATTAAAAAAAAAAAAATTAAAATTTTGTCATAAATGTAGGCCAAAATGTATTCTGTGACATGTCTTTGCTAAAAAAAAAAAATCCCAATATGTGTAAATTAATTGGTTTATTTGAAAGTTATAGTGTTCATAAATGGCAGTATAGATCCTGGATTTTTAAAAAATTTTTTATACTAATAATAGCGCTGATCAGCGACTTATAGCGGGACTGCGGCGGACATTCGGACACTGGTGGGGAACTGACTTGGGGTCACTGACATCCTCAGTGACACCAATACAGTGATCAGTGCAAAAAAGAAGAAAAAAAAAAAGGGCAATGACACCGTACTAATGGCACTGGGGAGGAAGGAGTTAATCTTTGAAGGCAATCAAGGGGTTAACTGTGTGAGAGGAATGTTTTACTAAGGGGCTGGGGGGGGGGGCTTCACTGCAAGCACACTGATCCGGAAGGCGGAGCTCATCCATCCAGATCAGTGTGCTCAAACTGACAGGGAGGAAAGCTGCATTGTAAACAATGCAGCTGTCCTCCCTGTCAGTGTTTGGTGGCAATCACCGGCCGGGACCCGGTGCTTGACTCCCGGGGCCGCAGGTAGGGCGGTAGCACATCCACTACCCAGAAATGCAGGGTCACGTTTATATACGTGATCCTGCGCACAGGGGCCACCTTGCAGCAGTATATGTACTGTGGGCGGTCCCCTAGTGGTTAAAAAGCTAAACTAAAAAAAACATCTGTTATTTTTTCAGGTCAAATAATACAACATTACTATGAACATACGAAAGTCATGCTTTCTTTAAAATTTACTAAAGCTGGCTGAACAAAAATAAATAAAAAAATGGACTGATTCCTCCATCCACCTGCTGAGACACTGTATTCTGACAGCGGGACTCCTCTGCTGTTAAAATACACTAATCAGCGTCCGAAATTCAATCCACTCATAGCCAGTTTTAGCCTACTATAGGTCTTCTTGTCTTGCACAAAGCTCCCGAGTGTAGACTTCTACAGGTATATTATAAACCACTAACCTAATGTTGAAGCTGGTACTACCACAAGATGTGGGCCCTTATCTCCCAACGAGTAAAGATGCGCAAGGAATGCTATAGCTTGAACAGTTTTGCCCAAACCCTGTGAAAAACACAAAAGAAATTCTCTCATTATGCTGGGTATTTTCCACAGAAGCGAAGAACTTATCCAACACACACTTTAATCCTAACATTATCTCACTGAACATACAGTTATTTGCATAGGCAATTAGTAGATATTTACGCTCAGTAGGAAATGATCCTAAGAACAAAGCCAAAGCTAAACTTGCAACTAAAATTCCAAAAGCTATTTTTTTTTTTTTACAGTATAGGTTTTAAATAATTAAGCTAGTATAATAGTAAAAGATGTAAATACACAACTCACCATCTCATCTGCCAAAATTCCATTGACATTATGTTTGTGCAGCAAAGCTAGCCAATTTAAACCAATCTTCTGGTAAGGCTTGAGCTCTAGACTTTAAAAATAAAAGCACTGTTAAACACTTGTGATGGCAGGAACTAGAAAAGAAAAAAAAAATGCATGCAAACAATAACAGGCTAAAAAGAAAAAATCGTTGAAGTAGATTTACAGAGTACATGAATCTATTTTGACACTGAATATGACCAGCTTTGTATTTTTTCCTCACAAAATTTACAACAAACTGCCACAAACACAGACAAGCAAAGGAAACACATTAAAAAGTAGCACATGGGCTTATACCTCTCAATACCTGACAAGAGAATCACTCTAGCTACCACTACACTACGTGGGGTTTTCACTCCTGGTGACACAATACACATTTTTCTTTTATAGCACAACAGCAGCAGGTGGAATCAAACCACCTCACACTGAGCTATTAGTATCTACAGTGGGAGCATAAAGAGCTCGCCATGGAGTTGGAGCAAGACGGATGATAAAATAGGATTTTTATACTATCTGTAAAATTCTTTTCTTTGAGAACATTACTGGTCACAGGATTGTACTTCAGAGAAGCAGGGTTATGCTGCCTTTAGGACATTTTACACCCCCTCCCCTCAATCTTTCAGGTAGGGGTTAACAGAACTGAAAAACTGTCACTGCTCTCATTGAGAATGCCAGACTATGTCCACCCCTTCTGCCCAGCTCCTCCATTCATGGAAGTGATTCCAATAGCTTCTATGAATTAAACAGGATCTATGGATGGGGGACAGGTAGATCCTGCAGTATAAAGAAAGGGTTCCTTATAGGTTACGGCCATCAATTCAAACACTTTGTAATGAGGTGATGGCAATAAGAAAGTCAACCTTGTGAGGGGCAGAAGACAAGAAAACATCCACAGTAGATGGTTTTAGGAGTCAACAGAACCAGGTTGAAATCCCACAGGGTCACAGGGGAACAATGTGAGCAACAACCTGTTCAAAGGGCTTTCACTGAGCAGTGAGAAGCAAGCAGTATTTGAAAAAGAATCACCAGGATGAAGGTCTGTCCTTTGATGGTACTCAAGGCTAAATAAATGCTGTTTCAGCCTTCATAGGTGAACCGTCAACAATAATCCCACAGAGCTCTTTCTGGGATGGAAATATCCTGCTTTCCACCACGAGAAATATTATTTCCAAGCGTAATGGTAGACCCTACAAGAAGTCTACTTCGTAGCTTTCAACAGTGTACGAATAGCTGAAACTAAAGGGCCCTTATTCTTTAGGACCTGGGTTTCGACAGCCAGGCTGTTAAAGTCAATGGATATAAAGCAAAGTGGTAAATTGTCCTTTGGGACAGAGGAGGTCTGACAAGGTCCAAGTACTATATCTGCCTGCGCCAGTTTGGTATAAAAATCACCAGAATGCCCTCCATCTCAACCCTGCAGAGCAGACAAGAGAGGAACGACAGAGGGGAAAGGGTAGAGTGTGTGAAAGTCAGGGGATCCTTGGACATAGAAACAAACCCTTCCAGGTTGTTGTAAAATCTGAAAGTCAGGGGGTCCACTTTCGTTGTCCCTTTTTTGAGATAGGTGAAGAAACCATTCTCTGGAGTCCAGATGTTGATGACTGAGGAATTTGGCAGGGCTTGTATGTGTAGTTTCACCCAAGCCAGAAACTGATCTTCCTCTCTGACTGTCGAGACATCTGGTTCCCTCATGATGGTTGATGTAAGCCACTGTTGTGCTGCTGTATGAGTTTCAGCGCCGAACGGGTAACCAGATCACTCTGATCAGAAGAATGTTAATTGTGAGAAAAACATATTTCATCAACTAAGTCCCATGTACCAAATGAGTCCAGTTCTGCTCCCCGCCCAACAAGCTGGTTCTGTCATGAGGACCTTACAACAGAGGGGTAAAAAGGACTTCCCAGATTCAGCAGCCAAATTTGTGATCCGCCAAGCAAGACAGGTTCTGGGTTGTAGGTTAATACATTCTTATTCCATGCAGCCAAAAAATTGAGTTGTAATGACATGGAGTGAAATTGGGTGTCAGGGAATGCATCTTGAGAATTATGTACAATCCATTGTCAAACACATCCAGGGTGATTGGGGATGCTAAATGTGTCATCATCATGCTGGAAATGGACTGGGAGTTTCCACAGCTCAGACTGAAACTGGCAGATACACCCTGAAAGGGAGGGAACAGTGATCTAGGTACTCTGCGTCAGCTTCCTTGGAGGGTACACTGCAAGCCCCCCTGAAACCACTGGAGCAGAAGCTGGCAGAGCCCGTGGCACCTCTGCCCTTGTGCTTATGATCCTCCATACTAGGAATGCAGAGTAAAAAACCCAATTAAGGGGGATGCATAGGACCATGAATGTTAAAGAATTGATGTGGACGCTATAGGGAGTTGGCTGCACACGATCTGGAAAAGTGAGCATGCATAAAATGATCAATAATAAAGAGGCCGCTCAGACACCAAATTTAAAATTGTGCGGCGCTCCATCTGCTGCTAGTATGCGAAGAAAAGTGTTGCAGCTGGTCAAACCTTGTTAACTCCTTGGGGAAGGGGGGGGGGGGGGGGGGGGGGGAGAAAGACTAGAAGCATGCACCCAGGGCTTCCAATTAAAGGCTGACAAGTTCCAGACCTACCCCAGTTGATGCAGTCCCATCACACAAAAGACAACAAGCAGGGTTCAGGGACAACAGTCTTCGCCCTGCAGATGGGCAAACTCTCACAGCAGTCCTCAGGGGTAGGTTTGCACTGAAGTGTAATCCAAGGACCTGAACCTGTAAAAGCATTCTGCAGCTTCCAGAAATTTTGCACCTAACATACCAAGAAATGTGTACCTATTGCAGTGTTCAGTATACAAAGACCCATTACAGGGCCAACCTGCTTCTTCCTTCCAGTGGGGTATGGGTAGGTTATGCCAAGTAACAGCCGACTCAAAAAGCTGCAGGACTACCCCTAAGATCTCAGCAACACTGAAAAAATCCTGTGTCAATTATTAAAAACTGAAGCATTAGTTTTGTATGAATTACTTAAAGGGCCCTGAATTCAAACTGTGAAAAAGCAAAAATTTATCTATCTTACAGGACACATCTAGCAAAGTTAAAACGTGCTGAAGGAGTACCCTGAAAAAAAGGCTAACTTCTGTCTTGCATTCCACTCCAGTACTTTAAGCCCAATAACTGTATACCTGCATGAAAAATTATCTAAGGGCACTGCCTCTGATTACTGATCTCATCAAATTTGAAGAGAAAGCTGTAATACAAGGATCACCCTGCATCTGCTTCATTCTGTGGATGTGTGATTTCTTTAGCTGGTGCTTATTGATTATACCCTTAATAGTCACCTGGGGTGCAGCTTCAATATGATAAAGCAAAGGCTTGCCTTCACCAAGATGGCTTCCTCTACACAGATACAGTGCAAAACAAGGTATAAATAACGGGGATTAAGATAAGCTGCAGAGACCCAATAGTCAACACTGGTGAAACTGCCCTTTGATTGCCTTTTTCAAACACAGCTTCCACGGAAAAAAAAACAACTATCATAGCTTTATATAGTTCTTTATTTACTCAGGGTTCAGCGAGTCCCCAGTTAGTGAAGTCAAAACCTACATACACAACCTATGGAGGTGGAAAGTTACTGACATTGCTGAAATAAAAAAACCTTGACAAGTCTGGGCATACCTCTTGGACAGCATAGATGGTTGCTTCACATTCCAGCCACTTTCTCCATCTTCAGTGATATGTGTCACCTTATTCATCAATTTCTTGGAAATCTCCTCACATTTGTTCATAAGTTTTAAAACCACTTCTCTTTCCTTGATCAGTATTTTTACAGTTCCAAACTAGGTCTAACGAAAGAGTATTCACTTTGTTTATTTTGTTAAGCTGCAAAGGAAAAAAAAAATTATTGAAAAAAAAAAATGAGATAGCTGATGCACATGACGAAGTCGCACATTTGCCTATCCTTGAAGAAACAGGCAGCCTTGTCCTTTGAAACAAAAATAATATATATATATATTTTTTTTTTTTTTAACTAGAACCGTGTGTATTACTCTACAACATAAAATTCAATGAAAACATGCAAGTTCTAATGTTCGTGCACAGATAAAGTTTGCCATCTAGATCAAAGTTAACAAAATGGGGTTCAGAACCACTACTATCATCTCAAACTTTGTAAGCCACAAGGAGACCATCAAGATGTTTTACAATTCACCCGAAATCAAGAGTGTTGAGAAATAAGTTTCAAACTAACTTCTCGGGTTATAGTCCTGCTGTTACTGCTTTACACAGTTTTTGTGGATATCTAAACGCTACAGACTATTTGCTGAATAATTTGTCATTTGCAATGGGTGCACATCTTGGTTGACATGAATTTTATTAGTGAATGAATAATATAGGTTTTCGTGTGACCTCCTAATCTCACTTGCATGATGTAGTGAAGGTAGGCTCCGTGAACTGCATTCCCTAATACTTCCACACAGCAATACAGTCTAGAACAGCCTTCTGCAACCAGGGTGCTGCAGCAAAATGCCTAACAATTGCCCCAAATTGGCCAAACAATGATGGATCACGCCTTTTTTTGTAATACAAAGCAACAGGTATTTATTGGCCAGAATTTTAAACTTCGACACTGTGTGAGCCGTCCACCAGCATGCTAACGAACAATGTCATCGGTTGATAAGGAACACATCTAGTGCCCTAGTTTGCCCATTCTCCATCCCTCTCCATCAGCACATTAGCTGCGTAAGGAAGAGGAATTGATTGAGAAGAGAAATGCTGGATTAGTTAGTATCAGTGTGCAAGGGTATATTTGCTTTGTAAATTAAATCACCTTTATTAGTGGGTTTTCTATGTGTATGGATGTTGCTGTGGTACAGCAAACCATTGGTTCAGTTTTTTACATTTTAGTATGGGGTGCCTCGAGAGTTTGCATAATTTTAAGGAGTGCCTTGGCTGGTAAAAAAAAAAAAAAAAAAAAAAAAAAAAAAAAGAGAAGGTTGAGAAACACTGGTCTAAGAAATCGGATCACTGAACAAGAGCAATCTGACAACAGCATTTCTAAGGAAAAAAAAAATACACATTCTGACATTACTGCTCAACTGGATGCAAACATCTGATTTTAGTTTGAGATCACATGAATTCACAGGTTGCCTAAGCCCCATTCAGAGGAATGTCGGGCATATTTTCCTCTGCCCACATGCGGTCTACAGCCTGCACTGCACAGCTACAGTACTGCTGTGTATACAGCATTGCTAACGCAAGAACAGTACAGTGTACTAGCATTAGCAAAAAAGAGGAAATGTTCTATTTTTTAAAAATGTTTGTGCGCTGTACTTGTGTTTACAATAGCACCGCGATTTACACGAATACAGCAGTGCACATCCATTCATGTTAAAACCTATCCCCCCCGTGTTTTAGTGAACTTTAAATAGTTCATTTGGACCAAGCTGGTCCAAACAAATTATTTCCTTCACTAACACGTCCAGTGATTGTCAGCACTGTATGAACTGAGTTGTATAGAGTTCATTTAGCGCTGTGCTGCTGTAATAAGATGGGAACATGGAAGAAAATCGAGTAGGCCTGAGCACTGCTCAACCATTCATTGGAAGCTTTGTATTTTCTGAATGAATACAAGGCTTCCTCTAATTGGCTAATTATTGGGAGGTAGTCGGATGATATCACCATCTCACAGCGCTGAGGATACATAGTTCATACAGTGCTGACAGCCACTGCATGTACTAGTGCAGGAAATAGGCTTTAATGACTGGCAGTACGCTGTTCCTGCACTGTCTGGGTGGAGGAAATATATTGGGCATTAAACTGAAAGGGCCCAGGCAGCCCGAGAGCAAGAGCCCCTAATATTTATAAATTTATGATCTAATTAATAAAAGCTTTTTGATTTAACTATCACCTTATTTCCTCCTGTAACTGAATAAGTGTTAGGGAGATTCCAGGTAGCAGTTTAAGATATAGTACACTCATATACAATGCTAGATTGACAGGATACTTAAAGGGTTTAGGGAACAGCTAAGCCACTGAAATGAAAATGTTTGACGTTATTTGCTCCAAGCTGTAATTTTTCAGACGTATTCGTTACATATGTAACTTAACACCAGGTCAAAAGTATATATATATATATAGATAGATAGATAGATAGATAGATAGATAGAGAGAGAGAGAGAGATCTGGATCCAAAACAATTAAAATAAAACCTACTCCTTCTTAGTTATTCATTCATATATTATATATATAAAATACATTAAAATTTAATTAACACATACTTATATATACACTTCTGAAGAATCGTTTGGGAACCTTTGCGCTGTATCACCACACCACGTGCATGAAAAATCTATTACATTTTAGTACAGTATTAGTTTGCTTTAGGTATTCCACACGCTATTCCTCCCCACCTTCATAAACAAATATTGCCTATAAATCTTTTAATTCAGTAGGTGGGGAATGCACACGGAGGAAAGGTAGAACAAGCTCCCTGGCTGCACACCGCACGGTGATGCTGAGCCAATTCAACAGAAATGCTCAGATGCTACATCTGATTACTTCTGGTACCATCTGTACCTCACAACACACATACCTATATTATACTATATATATATATATATATATATATATATATATATATATATATATATATATATATATATATACAAATACATACATACACACACACATATACATACACATATACATACACACACACACATATATATATATATATATATATATATATATATATATATATATATACATACACGCACACATATACAGTATCTCACAGAAGTGAGTACACCCCTCACATTTTTGTAAATATTTGATTCTATCTTTTCATGTGACGACACTGAAGAAATGATACTTTGCTACAATGTGACGCAGTGAGTGTACAGCTTGTATAAATGTAAATTTGCTGTCCCCTCAAAATAACTCAACACACAGCCATTAAAGTCTAAACCGCTGGCAACAAAAGTGAGTACACGCCTAAGTGAAAATGTCCAAATTCAGCCCAATTAACCATTTTCCCTCCCCGATGTCATGTGACTGGTTAGTGTTACAAGGTCTCAGGTGTGAATGGGGAGCAGGTATGTTAAATTTGGTGTTATCACTCTCACTCACTCCTACTGGTGACTGGAAGTTCGTCATGCCAACTCATGGCAAAGAACTCTGAGGATCTAAAAAAAAAAAAAAAAAAAGAATTGTTGCTCTACATAAAGATGGCCTGGGCTATAAAAAGATTGCCAAGACCCTGAAACTGAGCTGCAGCACGGTGGCCAAGACCATACAGCGGTCTAACAGGACAGATTCCACTCAGAACAGGCCTCGCCATGGTCGACCAAAGAAGTTGAGTGCACGTGCTCAGCGTCATATCCAGAAGTTGTCTTTGGGAAATAGACATATGAGTGCTGCCAGAATTGCTGCCAAAGTTGAAGGGGTGGGGGGTCAGGCTGTCAGTGCTTAGACCATACGCCATACACTGCATCAAATTGGTCTGCATGGCTGTCATCCCAGAAGGAAGCCTCTTCTAAAGATGATGTACAAGAAAGCCCGCAAACCGTTTGCTGAAGACAAGCAGACTAAGGATATGGATTACTGGAACCATGTCCGGTGTTATGACGACACCAGATAAACTGATTTGGTTCAGATGGTGCCAAGCGTATGTGGCGGCAATCAGGTGAGGAGTACAAAGACAAGTGTGTCTTGCCTACAGTCAAGCATGGTGGTGGGAGTGTCATGGTCTGAAGCTGCATGAGTGCTGCCGGCACTGGGGAGCTACAGTTCATTGAGGGAACCATGAATGCCAACATGTACTGTGACATACTGTAGCAGAGCACGATCCCCTCCCTTCGGAGACTGGGCTGCAGGGCAGTATTCCAACAGGATAATGATCCCAAACACACCTCCGAGACGACCACTGCCTTGATAAAGAAGCTGAGGGTAAAGGTGATGGACTGGCCAAGCATGTCTCCAGACCTAAACCCCCATTGAGCATCTGTGGGGCATTCTGAAATGGAAGGTGGAGGAGCTCAAGGTCTCTAACATCCAACAGCTCTGTGATGTCATAGGGAGTGGAAGAGGACTCCAGTGCCAATCTGTGAAGCTCTGGTGAACTCCATGCCCAAGAGGGTTAAGGCAATGCTGGAAAATAATGGTGGCCACACAAAATATTGACACTTTGGGCCCAATTTGGGCATTTTCACTTAGGGGTGTACTCACTTTTGTTTCCAGCGGTTTGGACATTAACAGCTGTGTGTTGAGTTATTTTGAGGGGACAGCAAACTTACACTGTTATACAAGCTGTACACTCACTACTTTACATTGTAGCAAAGTTTCATTTCTTCAGTGTTGTCACATGAAAAGATAAAAATCAAATAATTTACAAAAATGTGAGGGGTGTACTCACTTCTGTGAGATACTGTATGTATGTATACATATATATATATATATATATATACATACCTGACAACAGGTACCAATAAGAAGATGTGACTTTCTTAATACCTACTATTTGGCAAAACTTGGATGAGCAACTTGGACTCAATTCATTTGTATGTTTCCACATTTCAGCTTGCGGTTTCAGCCCTGTAAACAGGACTAATGAAGGGGGTTATCTTAGCCTGAAGTTCAGGATAAAAGCTGAAAACCACAGGACTATTTGTAAATATGAATGGTTGACACCACTGAAGGACTAAAGAGGACTGTTTGTGGTCTCCAGCTTCTATCATTAACTTTATGCTGTTGAGGAAAGCAGAAACCTGGCTGTTGAGACCAGCATCCCTGGAGCACAGTTTGGAGGTTGAAACACTCTTACTTCTGATTTGAGTTTCTCTTAACCCATGACTCACCTTGGCCTATTTCTACTGCCTTACCAA